ATACAAATATACCCCAATACGTTTAAAAACTAGTTATCTCTGTGTGGTGAGATAACAGATGACTTTTCTTTTTTTCCTTTATAAAGTTTTGGTACTGTCTGAATTTTTTCAATATATAAGCCTGTGTTACTTTTATAATCAAGGGGAAAAAAGTTGTTTTCATTTTGATAAAGTCACTATCTTAGCCTTAAGAACACTACATCTGTGGCTTTGCTTTTAAAATGAAGAGTTAGAAATAAAACTAGAATAAATGAAATTGTTCACTTTTAAGAGGGAAAAAAACCCTACTAAAAATAAGCAGTAACCCCTCATTCCAGAGATGCATTTATTTGGATGACTTTTTATGAGTGCAGCTTCTATACTGACGTCTTTCTAGCTAGAGGTTATGATTTTTTTCCTGGGATAGATGACGGAGAAGGATAAATGGTGAGCAGAGGGTCTCAGAAGGGCCTAGGATGGGATCACAGAATGAGAGGTCCAAAAGGCACCTTGAGGTCATGAAAGAGGTCCTCCACTCATCTGATATACCTTCTCGCCCTCCAACACACATACACATACACACACACACACACACACACACACACACACACACACACCCCTTTATCAACAGACTGGAGCCCTCATTAACCCCTCCCTGCACCGAGTCCACCATGATCCTCATTCCCAGCTTGACCCCCTTCATCACCACCTTCCTTTGCTATCTTTCCTGCTTGGCTTCTTTCTTCTCCTGACCTGAACAAACCTGTTATTCATCCTCCCGTTTATGAGATAAAACTAATTCCTTGCTTTAAAACAGAACAGTTAGAAACACAGTGTGGAGATGGTAAGTCTATAAAGCCCAAAATACTTTTTAAAGTGAAGTATTTTTAAGAGGTTGAGAATATTTTCAAAAACACTCCCATGAAGGTCGAAACACAGAACTCTGCAATGGCCTATAGAAGTGCATTTGCTGAATTAGATCTAAGCCGAAGCCAATCATTTGTTATAAAAAAGAAAAGGACACAAATGTATACCTATGCGTGGAAAAAGGTCTGAAAGTGTATGCAACATAATAGTAATAGTAGTTTCATCTGGGCCACTGGGGGGAGTGTTAATTTCCTTTCCTATAAAGTTGTATTTTCTAACTGTTCTATAATTTATACATATTACTTACATAATAAAAAAATTAAATACATGAATTGAATATAAGCCCAAAGAGAAAAGAAGGGGAAAGACAAAAAGCTAGGGAGGGGAAAGTAGCAGCAGGGAAGTGGCAAAGAAACCGCTGAATTAGTCCACGTTGAGAGGTACAGGGCAGACAGCTCTAAATCACAGTCCTCATCTTTATCCTGCAAACCCAGGAGAGTCCCCTGCTTTGTTCTGGTAAGTATGGCTAACAGACTCTAGCCAAGTCCAACACAGTTGAAATGCATAAATGTAACCATATAGAAGAAGAAATTAACAGCTTCATCCTGGGAGGGGAGGAGTACCCTCAGGAATGCTGGTATTCCCAGAGCTGCTTCTCTCCACCTTTGTGTTTGCATCACAAGCTCCAGGAGCCCCTGAAAAGCAAGCTATCCATTTTCAAGAAGTAAATCTCTTGGACGAATACCTTCTGTTCACTGGCTGGAGAGGAAAGGTGCTGGGCTGTGTATTGGAACTCCAGCTATCTCTTCTGGCACAGGTTCTCAGGGATGAGACCATGTCTAGTGAGGATTTTCTCCAGATTCGACAGCCTTGGCCCTACCAAAACACGCAGCTTTGTTTTCACCATACATCACTCAACCTGAGTCTTTCGTTTTTCGTTTCAAGCATCCACAGGTCAAATACTGTGTGTTCCCAATGGTCTGAACTTCTTGGACCAGCAAAGGGACATTCATTTTGCTCAGCACTCCTTTCACATTTCTATTGTGTTCGATTTCCCACTCCCCCTACCCAAGTCCCCAGAGAATAACTTCTTCCTTGTTTTAATAACCTGGACCGCAGTCAAGGTTGATGTGTTTCTCCATTTTGCAGGATATTTTCTTCAGAAGAGACAAAACAGAGGCTGACAGAGTAGCAGGGCTTGGGAGCAGCGTTAGGAAATCAGCAGGCGTTAGGAACACACAGAAAATGATTCTAAAGAAATACAAAGCAGACAGCAACGCGAGGCACCATACACAGAATTATTCATAAAGGTGGACTAGTGCTTAGAAAGATTCCCCTGCAATTTTTTTCTCCCAATGACCCACTTAGAAAATATAATTTCATTTGTTGGTAAGGAAAAGGGTCAGAGTTAAGAAAGTGGCTTCATAAAGTACCTTCTCTTTGACTTAAATTGAAACACAATATTCTCCCATTTGAGGTCATAAAAGTAGCTCTGATCCCTATGGGCACGCAGAGATTAGAAAATGAGTAAAGGGAGGAGGAGAGAGGAGTAAATCACTGGTAAGATTCCCTCCTCGCCACCCCGTTTCAAGTTTTCATCTCGTCTTGCCCATGTCCCCCCTACAATCCTATCCCCAACCAGTATAATAACACTGCTCTCCAACATCTAACGAAAGATGTCTCTGTGGACTTGCTTAAGCAAGGAAACAAGCTCACTCTTTTTTTAAAAAGTAAAATTCTCAAGGAAAGACGATGTGAACAAATATTTAGTGGGCGTTAGTGGGAGGCACATGATCTTTTAATAAAAACGTTATAATGCCTCTTTTTTATGAGTGATTTAGAAACTATATCCTTTTTCTCCAAAACATGACTCAAACCTCCAGTATTCATGTTACAGATCTACCTTGTCACCATGATTTTTCTTACTACTGATTTCAGATAGTGTCCAGACACTAGTAACAGATACATGCAAAAACACAGTTATTTCTCTTTGTCTTTCTTCATGGAATATCTTTTCGCAAATGTATTTTCCGTATTAACAGCATTTTCATACCATGGCAAAGGAAAGCAAATTTGGTACAGAGAATAAAGATACCTACCCAGATTATGTACCCCCTGGGGAAAAACCACTTTCTACTGGGATATCAGCTTCAATTGAATCCAGTTCTCAGCTGTTCATGGCCTTGGAGGAAAGAGCTAAGGAGCTGCTATTTTTAGGGCTAAGAGAGGCAAACTGTGGGTCATGATGTATTAGTGAGCTGTAAAATCAATCTACACATCTCAACCAGCATTTTTTTTAATGATATGGAATAAAGTAGAAAGCATCAGTATGCACAGCATGTAATAAGTATTGTTTTGTGAAAACTTCTATGTGTGTGGGTACACCTGATCTCAGTGTAAAAAGGTATTTCTAACTGTGGTCGCAGTCTAGAAAGTTTAAGAAACTCTGATCTAGGGCCCAGATACTGGAGTCAGACAGAAGTGGGTTCCAACGTGGCTCTGACCCTTACTTGCTAAGTGAACTTGGTTAGGTGGCTTAACCTCTCAAGCTTCCTCATGTGAAAGATGGGTGTGAACATAATACCCTAGGATTGTCATGAGATCAAAAGAGGAGAGGTATATAAAGCCCTTCACACCCTGCCCAATAATGTTAACATCCATCTTCAGGTAAATGTTCAGCTCACACTCAGAAGCAAACATTTAGTTGACTTACAAAAGAGAGAAAAACACAGTGTGAGAGAAGATATTAGGAAAGTAGACAATTGTAACGTTTTGCTCTCCAAAGAGTTACTCTTCTATAGGACTATCTACTGGAGGAGTCCTTGATGCTTTTTATACAACTCTCTGAATAGAGTATTCAAGAAATACATTTTAATTTCAGGAGTCCTTTTCCAAAATGTAAGCACCAGATCAATGAAAACACTTCTAGTTTTTGTTTCTTACACAGGATTGAACAAAACAAATTATTTGCATTTTGTGCTTCATCTTTATAATATAGCTTCTGACTCCCTCGCAAGTGACTAATATCATGTGTCTAAAGATCTTAAAAGGTACCAAAATTATCTCACCTGTGGAAAGACCCAGATTCAAATACATGCCAAGATTCCTTATATGTAATTTTCGTAATTAAGCAAATAAACTAACCCTGTACTCCAGCATGAAGAAATTTAAAAAACGGAAAACACACCACTCACTTCACAATCGTGTTCTATCTATTCTTGGCATGTAGTCTGGGGAGAGTTACTAAATTCTGATTACAGCAGAGAGAAGAAAAGCAAGGGATCCAGAAAGAAAGGCTGGGACCACGAAACATAGGACGAGTTTTGAGTAGGTGTAAAGATACAGTCCTAAAACTGTCAGCAGCCCCTTGGATGGAAGTGGGGAGAGAAAAAACTCCAAGTCCATAGCAGGCTTTTTTACTTTTGGGTCTAGAGAGACGAAGTGGAGATTTGGTTAAAATAGAAAAATTGGGGGCTGGAGGTGGAAAGAAGGATCTAATAGTGAGTCTTAGAAGATGAAAAACAACTTCACTAATCACTGAAGGATGATCCAACAAACAGGACTGAACCAACAAAAGAAAGATGAGAAGAGGAAGGCTGGTTTTGGTGTTTAAGCAGAGAAAATAAAATCAAAAGAAACAGTTACAGAAGTGTCCTAGGGTGCAGGCTCTAAGGCTGGGGAAACACAGATGTTAAGGAATTTTAAAAAGTTTTTGCAGAAAGTCTGGCCATAGACTTGGGGTAAAAATTAAGTTCTCCCTGAGAGATTTATAGGTACATAGAGAAAAGGCAAGTTAAGTATGGCTGAAAGATTTGACCGATCTAACAGGAATATGTGTAATGCCACAAATGTAACACTTTTTTGAAACGTTCACCAGGAAATGAGCAGGGTTGCTACAGCATCATTTTAAAAATTTTTTTTCAGGAGTATGTTGATGAGAAATGTCACCACCTCCATTTTTACCCACAGTATATCTACAATAAATAAGAGCAGGCAGAGAGAGACAGAGGGAAAAAATGAATAGATTCTTCCCATCCCTGTGCACCAACTGCTACCCTGATTACCCATCATCAGTCCTAACTCCTGCATCACCCCAGGTGCCAGTCAACAAGGCCTATGTCATTTGCTTTGCCATCATCGCATTGTCCACTCACTTGCTCTGCCCTTCTGTCCATTTCACTGAGCTGGAGCTCCCAGCAGCAACTCTAGAAGAGAAGAAGAGGTGGGGAATGGGGACTGGAGCATGCGTGGCTCTAGCAAGCCCCCCAGATCCCACAGTCCAATGAGAAGCCACTAAATACACAGAGATGTAAAGCCAGCTGTCTAGTCAAGAGTGCTGAACTGAGGACTCGATCCCACTGGGGCTGATAGAGTGGGGGTGTGGAAGGCATCACAGGGAGGCTGGAAAGAGCCTTTGCTTTGGAATCAGATCTGGACTTGGAATCCCAGCTCTACCACATAGTATGATGTGAACTTGGGAAGTTACTTAATTCTCTGAGCTTGACTGACTTATTTGGAAAACAGGATAACAGTACCTAGGCATCATAATGCCATCAGGAAGATTAGATGAGGTGACCTAGACGAGTACCTGACACACCACAGGCGCTTCATGACTGTCACATCCTACTGCCCACCAACTCAGATTCGAAACTAGAAGTGAGTTCTTTTACGGTTTAAAGCAAGTCCCACCTGCTTTGTTTTTTCAGTTCCAGGTGCAAAGCATTGCCCCTACCTATGTTTGATTGCTATGTTCTCCCTATTCTGGTTGTGTATCAAGTGTGATAAAAGCCTGTTCAGGCAACCAGGTGTGAACACATCTGACTTTGGATGGTCCAAATCGTCTTCACTCAAATAGAAGTTTGGATCCTGGACTTTGTAAACTCTAAGCATTTCTTGATAAGAGAATGTAATGATTAACCTCTGTGATATCACTAGCAAAACACAAACATTAAACAAGTTCGAATGGACAAAAGTTCGAAGAACTCTAAAACATTCAATAAGGAAAGGCCATATTAAATTTCCCCAGTATTCTCAACCCCCTTGTTCTAGACAAGAACATCCCCTGTTTATATTCCTAAAAATTTAATACTGAACACCACTGACCACCTGGGAGAGGGAGGAAAGCATCTTAATTCTACAGACGGCCATGCCTATTCTTCTAAAACTGTACTCTCTTCATATGGTATAAGGACCTTTAAAATGGTTCAAACAAGTGTAAGTTACTGTTGAAGGGAAATGGAGTAGAGAAGACCTTACCCCTTTAATGTGGCTCCTAAGTTCATCTGATTCCAGGTCATGCATTCAAGTTGGGAGGTCATTTGGTATAAATTGTCACTGTTAGAGAAAAGCATCCAGAGTTAGAAATGCATAATACAAAAGACACATACACATGCAACTGTTTCTCCAAAAAGCAATCCACTTTTAACTTTTCTTTACAATGAAAGCCTCCACATTTTCCAGAATGACAGAATACAGGAGTCTGAAATGATTTTCATTTCATCCCACTGATCTCTGCACGTCATTCACTCCACACACAGCGGAAAGGATGTGAGAATAATTTGGAAGCCTTTAAAAAACCTTAGTAGAGCACACACTGAAGTTTCTAAAGAGGTATTAAACCTCTGAAGGGAAGAGGCTGAAGGGAGTGAAACTTTGAAAGGCAACACAGGCTGGATAGCTCAACATTAAAGTTAAAAGCCTGGAGCTGAAAGTAAAAAGACAGCAGATTAATTATTCGTGAAAAGGCCATTAAGTTGTTTTAATCAAAAGGATAAGTATCATGTGGATTATGAGGGCCTGAAAAGCCAAAGAGTGATGGGTGATGGATGGTCTAATACTCAAGGATGTGACAAGCGTAAGAAAGAGGATGATAAACTCTAGATACAACTGAAGGAATCATTCTCTATAAATTGTATAGTCACGGAGTGTTTTTTTAAAGCCCCCAACTCAGTTCTAGATTATATGAGGGAAAACAATGGCTGATCATTTACATTAAGACCCCAAAGGAAAAATATCCCACCGTATAAACCAACCAAAAGTTTTCCTCTCCCTTTTTCTTTGCACATACAGCTCTTAAAAATATCATTATTACATACGCTTTAAAACACATCTCTAAATGCATTATAGAAGAGCTATCACATCTATTTCCCAAAACAACACCCTTCTCAAAGTATCCCGCATGCACAACTCATGAACATCTTTATTATATGCTTTTATGTTTATTAATTTATTAATTTTATATTTATCTCCTTCCTAAAAAACTAGCACATAACTCAATTACCAGAAATCTCCTAAGTAACCAAGCTCAACTAGGATGAACCGAAATGGTTAATTATGAAATTTGAGACCCAAGAGATTAATGGTTTGTCTGGGAACGCTTGGTCTAAACACATTACAGAAGAACATTTCCACTCCACCTTCATGGCAGAAGGGAAAGAAGGTAAGAAGCTTTCAGTATGTAATGTATGATACCAGATTGCAAATTCTGGACAATATCCACCTTGTCATGGCATTCCTTTGGACTGCTTCATCCATCGGGCAGAGGTAACACCAAAGTTTAATTAAGAGAAGGTTTTGTAAGGCCAGCCAAACTGGGGACTTGTGGAGGGGTGAGGGAAATTACAGTATTTATCCCTTGGAATAAATGAACACCATGCTCTCTCTCAGCATAGCTTGATAAATCATGGTGGAGTCCATCTGCCTCTCATATAATCACTGAAAATTATTTGGAATTCCTCAGTGGTGGGTACACAGGATAAGGAGGAAATCAGATTCCAGGAGGGAATTTTACGTATGAAATGTGAAGTGACTTCAAACTCGAAGTACGTGTAGTTTCATTAGTCAGTGCATATCTGGACCCCATCATTCATCCCTGTGTCTGACTGGCTATTATGCTACCACAATATCCTACATATCAATGAAAAAAGAAATGATTAGTTTCTCCTGCAGCTTCCCTGTTCACAGCAGCGGCCGGTGCTGGTCTGTGCCACTACATTTCGCAATTCCACGAATTCTTGCTGTAAGGCCAGTGTAATTAATTCCTGAAGGACCCCAATTTTTATTAGAAGTGCCAGCCTGCTGCATTTAACATGGGAGAGTTTCTTGAACTTTCTTTGGGCTGACAGTTCATTAATAAGCGGCCTCCTCCACAATCTCTACTGGTTTTTGTTCTCCTGCACCTTTTCATCAGGCAATCCATTTATTAATCTTGCCATTAATCTCAGCCAACAGGCATTGTATTCCCCAGGCAGCTCTCTATTTTTGTCACTGATTTTTAAAAACTTGTTCACCAACTAAAATCACTCAGCCCCAGTTGACAATTTTCCTAGGTCCTATTGGGATGTGGGATCTTTCTGAAATTATTTCCTCCTTGCACAAGACTAAGAACACTGTAATTTTCAAGAGGTCTGAGAAGCAAGATGAGTGACAGAAGTTTACACACATGGGTCAATGAGTCCCAAATATCTAACTTTATGATTTAGGAATTTTCTCACAGACTTAAAGAATAGTCCAGCAGATTCCTAAAGAGAAAATAATTTTAAGGACATTTTCTTGGCCCCCAGAAAGAAAACCTTCTAAAATACAGAATCTATGTCCTATATATGTATCTTCCTAGTGGGTGCTTGATAAATACTCTCTACCACACTGCCCAATATGGTAGCCACTAGTCAGACATGGCTATTGAGCACTTGAAATATGGAGAGTACCACACACTGAAATAAAATTTGGGCTTTTGAGGTTAAATAGAATATTTTAAAAATTAATTTCCTGTTTCTTATTTTTTTAATGTGGCTATTAGAAAATTTCAAATTACACAGATGACTTGCATTATGTTTCTATCGAACAGTGCTACTCGGTAAATGTTAAGACCTTGAGCATATCAGTTCAGCTCTCTGCACCTCAGTTTTCTCATCTGTTAAATGGGAATATTAATCTCAATCAGTCTAACTTTACCAGGATGTTGTGAAGCTCTAATACTGGCTCTTTCAGGACTATACAGATAATATATTTTAACTTTTTCTAATCCATCAAATTTTGTATAGTACATTCACACATCACCAATACTCCTCACAACAACTGTGAGGCAGGTGTAATTATGATCCCCATTTATCGGAGGAGGACGGGGGCTCAGAGAAGTGCCTAGTGCTGACTTGCCTGATGCCCCCACCTCTACCCTGCTAGGCCCCTTTAAAGGCTTCCTGGCATTATTTGACCTCTGAACCTTGTCCTCTCACTACCATTTAAATGATAGTAAAAATAATATAGTAATACAAACAGGAGTCTGGAGGTGAAACAGAACATACTCAAGGGAGCATCATGACCTTCTCTGTCTCCAAGATGTGGTGCCCAACCACATCCTCTTCACCCGATTAAGAACAGTGTGCCAAGATCCCAGTAGGACCCTCACTTCGATTTCAGTGGTCCTGATAGCTCAGCTTGCAAATCCTCATAAGGGGAGAGAAGGTGGAAAGGGCCAATGGGGAAGGACTTTCAGAAAATCCCCAAGCAAAAACCAAACAAATAACAACCACCACCAAATAGGTTTCCTGAGGCTGGCCATAGGATCAGAGCACAATCTTAACCACATCCTGCCTTCTGTTGGCTGCAACTCCTCAGCGGCTCAGTCAGTCGGCTTGGCTGGCACCATCTTTCAGCTGGATGACAGTGACAGTAATGACAACAGCTGCTGCTGGGAGAGGATAAAATGCAAATTTGAACTAAAAATACTGGTCCCAAGCATGCTTAAAATATGATCTCTCTGGGCAGTTGGTCAACACCCAGCTCTCATCATGAAAACCCACGAAAAGAGGCAGCACCAGTAGAGGAAAATATGACCCCTGGCAAATAAAGCATCTAATTACTAAATAACCACTGTAGGTGTCGACCACCTCATTCCCAGAGGAGATCAGATAAGCAGGTGGTTTGGCTCACAGTGGCCACAGTGGTCATGTAGGCATTTCAGCTCCCCATCTAACTCTGTCTGTTTGGAAGTGAACTCTGAAATTGCTGGCTGCCAAAATATATTCCAAAAGTCATGGTGTCTTTTATATTTTTAAGTAGATCTTTAAACAGAAAAAGTCACTGGTTTCCTATGTCAGAAATGTTTGAAGTTGGAAGCAAGGAAGAGAGGAAAGAAACTTCTATAACTGGGATTAATGCAAGTTGGAGTGAAATAAAAGGAAGTCAGTCCTAGCAAAAAGGGGAACTTAAAAGGAAATCAGTAGTAGATCATATAGAGTTTGCTTTGGCCTGGACTGCAGTATTACTGAGTTCTTGACCTCTGCACAAAAAGAAAGGAAGAGAAAAGCTCTCGGCTATTATCTGGACCAGGACTCCCCCACTCTTCAAATGCATGTGTAATTCAAGTACATTTTCATCTTTAAGTGTGTTTAAGTATATCCAGCAGAACAAAGTAGAAAAGTCCTTATTACCACTGGAATGGAACTGTTGAACCTGATTAAGACTGGAGTTACCTCTGCCAGATGGTTGCTGGCTGGCAAACCAGCAACTTGTTAGAAGAAAAGTATTTCCCGAGATCAAGGAAAAAAATTCCTAATAAGAAAAAGGCACATGTAACTGGCATCTGTGAACAGAATTCATGATGTTTCCAGGGTTTGCTGTAATAGCTCTGCCCCACGCCTCTACCTGACGACCCAACGCTCATGCACAGAGGCTGCAGCCAAACTTCCACGCAGACTCTTTCCTGCGTTCTTCCCTCCAAGGCGCCACGGAGGCTGCCTGTTCAGAAATTTCTGCTCAGCAGGCCATGGTGAATAATCATTTTACAGTCAATCTCTTGGTATTGTAATTTCTCTCTAGCTCACCAGTTAACCAAAGAAAAACCCACAGGGGATTCCACTTCTATTAATAAACACTTGGTCAGCACAAATGTTGCAGGAATAATTGAAACTAGATTTTTCCTGCTCCCTGGAGACAAGTCCAATTCAAGCCTTTCTTTGGCTTTGATAACACTGCCCACCACCCTGGAAACCATTTCAGACTTTCTGCCTTCATGCCTACCTATATGGGAAACAAATATCAGTATTGTCTTAAACGAAACTTGGACACCATGTACAGTGTTTGTAGACGACACGTAGGAAGAGGCATTATTAATTATGATTTTATTTCTTCGGTGACAGATGTCCTCTGATTTAATTCTACATTGAAGGCTAACCTAAATGGTAGATCATGTACTTCCCACTGACCGGATTCCCCAGAAGCTCTATGGCTGCTAAGGAAGCTTCTCTCACATGGAAGACAGTCTACCGGTAACAGGCTCCACTGTCAACTTCATCATTGGATTGAATTGTCAACATTCAATTAAAAATATTCAAATTAGCAATGACTGCTTCTGAATTGGAATAGTTTTACCTGCTAGGGGGCCAAAGGAAACATGCATTCTCATTTAAATTAGTAGCACAGTGCTAAAAATGAATATGTAAACCTAATAAGAGTGCAAAAAGAAAAGGAAACTAGAATGTCTAAAAAAAAGTGTATGGGGGAATATTTTTCAAACACAGGGCACAGAACTCCTTTTCAAAGTAGCTGTGAGAATCAACCTGTGAAATGGGCATGGTCAGGGACTGTGGGCTCCAAGGAGCTCAGCAGGCTGACGGAGAGAGGGGGACTTGTGGAAGAGGATCCAAGGGAAGTGAGCAGGTAAGGCCCAGCTAGCTGCCTGTTCTAGGTCAAAATCAGGGGAAAACTGTGCTTAGTGTGGTCGGACTTCACTACTTTTTCCCCTCAGGGTAGCATGGGGTCCCTCCTTCCCTGGGACCTTGCCTCTGAGCAAGCACAGACCAGGGTGGCCCTGGAAGCTGTCGCTCCCCCTGGGTCTGGATGGAAGGGAGAAAGGTCTCTGCCACTTCTGCCTGTTTCTTTAGGAGCCTGGACTGAACTTCGGTAGTTCACGCCCAGTGAGTGGTAAAGGGAAAGCTGGAGGAGTCTGGAGCTTGACAGACAGCTGCTTTGTGAGTTAAGACTTCAGGAGAAAGTTCAAGTTGGCCCCTACAATACTCACCAACGAAAATACCGCCTCTGATCCACTGAGCGATTTCAATTGAAAACTATGGGTAAAACTAATGGATAAAGGGGTTTCTTTCACAAATGTGAGGAATAAAGACCTTCCTCTAGCAAGACCTAAGGCAGATGCCACGTTTGGAAAGGAATGGCACTTAACCATCAGGAGAGGCAGCAGGGTGCAGAGGGTGGGAAGATGGATTCTGGAGCCTCACACTTGCTCTGTCCCTTACTGTGTCACACTGGGCAAATTCACCTCCAGGGCTTCAGTTTCCTCCTCTGTAAAATGGGGGTGATAACCTATTGCCTACCTCAAAGAGTTTCAGATTAAATGTAAATAAGTCAATACTTGTGAAGCGCTCAAAATGGTTTCTGGAAGTAGTAAGTTTATATAAGCATTTGTTCTTACTATTTATTAGCAAAGGTGCTGGCACAGACTGTATAAGGGGAATATTCCAGGTGGAGGACACTAAGTGACTTGGAATCCCTCAGCGATTCAGAGCACACATGAGCTTTGAAGGCAGAGAGACTAAGAATCAAATCTTGGTTCTGATTCTCACTTGCTGTGTAACTTGAGCAAGTTACTTGGAGTCTCTGAACCTATCACCTCTTCAGTAGAGTGCGGATTACCGTACCAACCTCGTAGGTAATCAGAAGAACTAAATGAGTAAACTGAGTGAAGCACGCAGCGCAGTGCCCAACAGCACACAATATGCAGTAAAGCCTAGTGATTACGTAATAAGGGCCATGATTGCTGGGCTCCAGAAGGGCTGAAATCTGTTCCAGAATTCTTTAGACAAAATTCTACCCACTCTCAATACGGTGGGGAGAGAGTATGGAGAAAACTATCTCCTAACACTTCCCGTAAGTTGATTGGGGTGTCATTTTCTATTCACTACTAATCACATCTGTGTATAGCTGTAACTCCTCCGATCTGCAACCTGAAAGAGAGGAGAGAATCACTTTACAGTTCTCTCAGAATAGGGAGAGAATTTTGAGAATTTCCTCAAAGCAAATTCACATTGTGCAGTGCTTATTTAATGTCAGTGTATGTACCATTACCTTTAGGTCATGTGGGAAGGGAGACTAAATCCAAGAATGGGGAGACAGAAGCTTTGGAAGGGCAGGGCAAAGAAGCTGGGCAGGCTGCCTTAGGGGGTCAAGTGCAACAAGTCAAACAAAATACAGGCAAGCCTTTCACAGGAGGTCCCAGGTTTAGACAGAAAAGGGAACAGAGCCAGGGATCAGAAGAACCACTGAATATCTAAAAGTTTAGCCGTTAAGTGATTAAAGTTTAGTTGTACTTCCTATGCTTTTTCAAACACTGTGTTCACAAAAGCATTTAAATATCCTTCAAACATTTTTAGGAGTAGGGAAGAAGGAAATGACATAACCGTAATGGTAGTAATGTTGATGCACAGATCCAATTTTAAAACATCCCTACAAATGTCCATCCATCATTACTGCAGGGCAAGTACCTGATCTTTGAAAAGTGATTAGAAATGCTGTCAATTTAGAGTGGATGGAGCTTCAAAGACTCAGCACAAACTTCAAGGAAGCAAACTTTTCCTACGGGGTCACAAATTTTTTTTCAGGAGATATTACTTAAGAGATTTTCCTGTAACAAGAGAAAATGGTATTTTTATGACATTCATATAAAAATGAGCAAAGAAGTTCCAATTATGTAGAAAGAAGGGATAAGCAAATATCTCTGAAAGATGAACCTGACAAAATTGCTTTATACAGTGGCCAGTTAGAAGATGGATTAGAAAATGTGAAATTTTTATGTATAAAATGCAATCCAAGTGATTTTTCCTGCTTCCATAGCAACCACTAATTCAGCCCTAAGTCAAAATCCACCACAGGGACTCAGTTTGGAGAACTGCTGCTAAGACAGAAGTCGTGATCACTTTATCCCCTACTCATTTTTAGGCTGTTCAGTCCCTTCTTAGGGACCCACAGGGTGGATCTACGCTTGAAGAGGGGAGAGTAAGAAATGTGTGTAACTGTGTCACTACTGAACCAGACTCCAAAGCCTCGCAGTCCCCAACCTCCAAGCAGGTAGCTGGACCCATCTAAATAGCACCCATTCCAGCATCAAGGTCTTCCTCTCTGCTTGGGGTGAGGCGTCAGCCAGGAGCCAAGGGAGAATGACTGGGTCAAGGTCATCTCACTGGGAGCCATTCCATCTGTTCCCCCAATGGCTAGAATAAGAGCAATGCTACTCTGGCAATAGGCAGGAGCAGCTCCTTAAAAAGGATGGCAATGACCCTACCATCTCAGTTTTGCTTGGAGAGGGAGTTCACAACAGAGATTTCAGATCCTGTACCTATTCCAGTGAGTTGACCCACCAAGGGAAGGTGCAAAGATGGCTGCTCAGGACAGATCACTGGGCCTGAGGTGCCAAAGAACAGAACTGGGTTCTAACTAGAGAGGGAGAAAAGGAGGGTGAGAAGGTGTGACCATTCAATACCTCTATCTGGGCAAAATGCATGTCTTTCCCCCCACCTCTAAAATTAAAAAAAAAAAAAAGGCGGGGGGAGTAGGGAGGAAAAAAAGTTATCTTGAATCCAAGATCAGATTAGATATGCCGGATTTCCCGATCAAAAGGAAAGGTTTCCAAAATCTGTGTACTGTAGGCGTACAGAAGTAGACGGGCTCCACCCTGTCCCTCCCCGGGATGGGAGAATCAGACCAGTCCTAGGCTCGGTTTCATAAACACGTCGGAACATTGGCATGAGCCGCCTGCGGGCTCAGGAGCGAACATTCCTTCCCCTCCTCCACCTGTGGGGCTGCAGGTCCCCCAGGCGCGGCCATTCCTTCCACCAATCTCCCAGGGCAGACGCTTTTCCTTCCTTTATTACCTCACTACCTCCTTCCCTTGACGTCAGCCCCGGGTCTTCCAACAGAGGGGAGGGAGGATGGAGATGAGTCTGGGGCAGTCGGTATCAGGATCCCCGCAGCACCGGGTGGGGGGTAGGGATGGAATATGAGGTAATGCGCGCCCAATCCCCGGCATCCAAGGCCGCGATCTGCCACTTCCCTCCCTCCGCCCCACCATCCCGCCCAGCTCAAGCCGGTATAGTTACTAGGCAACCCTATCGGTGACGCGGGATGCCGGCCAAGTTCACCCAAAGTTGAAGAGTAAATTTGGGGGAGAGAAGGTGGAGGGTGGAGCAAGAACCTAGAGAAGGCACGAGGAGCTGGAAAAGAGTCTGCAAGGAAAAGAAGCTGGTCTTCGGCCTCACGGGAACAGGAAGGAAGGCGGGCGCGGGCTGGAGCGGTCTCCCCGCAGGTACCGCTGCCGCCCGACCACAGTCCCGCACACAGTCCGGGGTAGCTGGGCGCTGGGGACGACGCCCACAGAGTGGTGCTGCAGCCCGAGACTCTGAGGGACAGGGGTGGGGAGAAGGCTGTGGCCCGAGTGTACGCGCCCTCGAATTCGTCCCAGAGAAGGCTGGCGGGTGTGGCCAGTGCGCGAGGAGGGGCTTGAGGAGTGAGAAGAAACGAGTGGGAGTGGACCCCGTGTTTAATCTTTGATCCCGAGGAAGCTGAAGTCCTCCCAGCAAAGAGCCCTTTTAAAAAAATACTCCTCAATATCAGCTCGGTGCTCTGTGACCGCCTGGAGGGGTGGGATAGGGAGGGAGGGAGGGAGGGAGAGCAAGAGGGAAGAGATGTGGGAACACATGTATATGGATAACTGATTCACTTTGTTATAAAGCAGAAACTAACACACCATTGTAAAGCAATTATACCCCAATAAAGATGTTAAAAAAAATACTCCTCAAAGCGCCGCTCTTTCTTCTTCATCTCCAAACAGTAATCGCCCTCATTTATATTCCAAGTAAGAACACGGTGGGGGGGGGACTTCCCTGGCGGTCCAGTGATTAAGACTCCGCGCTTCCACTGCAGGGGGCGTGGGTTCGAGCCCTAGTCGCGGAGCTAAGATCCCGCATACCCTGCGGCGCGACCAAAACCAAAAACCAACGTACACACACAAAGTAAGAACGCCGGGAGACGGGGAAAGCTATTTCTTTCAAATAGAAGCCAGGAGAGAGGCTTTCACTTGCTTTTTGGAGACGAGTGGGCTAAAGGTGTACTTTGCCTCCAGGACCCTGCACGGCCGCATCCGGGCTGCCCCGCGTCGGGCGTTCCCGTGCCCGCTGGCTCGAGCGCCCCCTCCGAGGTCGCGAGGACCTAGATGAGGTGCCGAGCGCCTTCCTACCTGCTGTAGGGCGTCCTCAGCAGCAGGGCCTGGCTGCCTGTGCAGCTGTCGGTGGGCGTGTGGCAGCCGTAGACTGGGGGAGGCACGGAGTACTGCTGTTCACCTGCAGAGAGCCAGGAGAGCGGGGTGAGAGCAGCACACCAAGGGCTGGGGGTGCGAGGCCGCGGTCAAGGGCTGGGGCAGAGCGTCCTGAGCTGGGCTCCCAGGCTGTGCTGGGGGCACTGGGGCCTGGATGCCGGGGCGTGCAGAGAGACGGCCTACAGGTCACAGCGAGCTAAGCCTCTCACTTCACATTCCCTTAGCAGTCACGGCACAGAGCACCGAAAAGACCCTCTGGACATTCGCAGTCTCGGCTGAGCGGAGTTAACATACTTGGGGTGGGGGGAAACAATCTTTTCTTTTGAGTGAGATTAGGCTAATTATTTCTAAAATTCTTTTAGCTATCCTCTCCTCCCTTCCCCAATTTGCTGTGGGCTGGAAATTCCTGGGGAGTGAGGGGTAGCATGGAAGAAGGGGAGAAAGACCCCACATCATTCCCTCCTCTTACCCAGCGAGCCCTGCTGGCCCATGGGATCCTCGTGCTTGAAGGAGTGATTGGGGAACTGTGCCGCGTGGTGCGAGGGCGTGTGACCGTAGCTGGGCGTCCCGTCGAAGGTGACCGTGCTGTATCCTGCGGGCGCGGCCGAGAGAGAGAAACAGCGTCGGCGGGGAGTCAGGGACCGTGTGTCTGAACCAGAACCCGGGCGAGGAGCGCCCAGCCCCTCATTCGGATCCCGCTGCCTCAGCCCCCAAGGCTTGCAGCGAGAAGCCAGGCCCAATGTGACCTCGCGACAGGCTCCCCGTCCTTTCCCGAGTAAAACCCAGGCCTCCCCACCATTTCCCAATTTATTTACGCCCTCGTCTTTCACGGTGTCCGCCGCTTCTGCACCGAACACCTCGCAAGTATGAAAGCCGACAACCGCTCGGCGGAGAAAGTTGTTCTCCCCCCAAAACTGGGCAGCGCGGGCGACCGAAATGAATCTGTTCGCCCGACCCGGCGCTGACTCGCAGCCGTAAATCAGAGGCCTGCGCACCAACTTTCATTAATTACTCGGGGCCAGTTAAACGGCATGGGCTTTAAATGGGGAGAGTATACAGAGTAATGTTATCTGTCTGAGGCTGCGCGACCCACCATTGACACCCAAGGCCCTCGGGAAAGCTGGTGAGGGGGAAAAAGAAGGGGCCTTTCAAGTTGGGCCCACGGGCCTCGACCCTGCGCCCTCCTCCTTCCTACCTCGGACCCACCTCGCGCCCAGCGGGTCGGACTGTGACCACCATTGCCGGGGCGGACTTCCTCGCGCACCAGTCCAGGAAGCCTGTTTGTTTCAGTGTGCCTGAGACTCTACCTCCCTTTCCCTCCATGGTATGCACTGGTCCTCTGCCTCAGTTTCCCTGCCGAGAAACCGAGGGCAATACCGCCCGTATTCTTCCCCAGCTCTCCGAAAGTGAGGGGGAAAAAAACCCCAAAAACGTGTTGGTTGAGAAACGTAGTCTCCTTCTGTGACTATTGTCACTAAATTACTTTAAACATTTACCCCACTAGCTTCCGCAAAACTGTAGCTGCCTCTGGGGAAAAAGTATCCTCCAGCTAAGATAAAGATCAGTTCTGAGCCCTGAACCCAATGGTGGGGTCCCTGACTATGCGCAGGCTCAGTAGTCTCTGGCCTGAGGTCCTGACCAACTGACGAATCAGATTGGTCCAGACGCTCACATCGGCTCCCTGCAGGGCCACTGGGCCGGACCCAGTCCCCCCACCCTCAGCCCCGCCTCTGGGCACTGAGCTGAGTCTCCAAACCCCCGCTCAGTTCTTGGGAGTGGGATAAGTCAAATGAACCCCATTCCCCCACTCTTGCCCCAGACATGGTCAAGACTCTACAACCGGTGTCCAGTGAAGACTCAGATTGAACAGTGAAAGGTGGCCATTACCCACATCTTTCAAATACACATCTCCCCCCCAAAAAAACAAAAACCGACCTTCTACAGTCCACTTCGGGGAATGTGGTGTGTCAGTGTGGGAGGGAGGGTTTGAACAGGTCTTCATTACCAGATTGTACAGGGCAGTCCAAGTCTCACGCACCAATTGGCGCCACAGGTTGACAACTTGAGAAGCCACCAGCTTTTATAATTTACATGACCCCAGAGGCCTCCATTTCTGGCCTGCTAAGTGGGCAAAGATAACCCCCGCCCCGTTAGCTGTCAGGAGTCGGTGAGCACGCTTGGGCTTCCAGGCACTTCATTTTGGGAGCGGAGGCCAGACTGTGTTTAAGGCCTACCAGTCCGCTGACAAACGAAATTTGGCTCCAAGCACCCAGTTTTGCAGAGGGAAGGCCGAATTTTCAAAGACCATTTTTTAAATAAAGAGGAGAAACAGAAGCAATAAAGAAGTTGTCTCTAGACGAGCCCTTCTCCATTCCTGAGCCGATAAGAAGGCAGTGGCCCGGGCACCGTGCTGTCCTCGGAGGCGGGCTCCGCAACCTTCGGTGCGCGGCTAGGGCCACGGGTTGCGGGCTGCAGCTCCTGCGCCGGCCGCGTCGCCTCCGCGCCCCGCGAGGCTCCCAAGGACCCGTCCCAGACCGGACACCGGACCGCTGGGCAGAGGCTGGCCTCCAACCCCCTCTCGCAGTCCCCCTCCCCGGAGAGGGGATGGGCTTCGGTGAAAGGGCCCTCAGAGAGGAGGGAGAGCTCTTTAAATTAGAAACTTACCGGATGCGGAACTGATCAGAGCGTGCTATCCCGGGGCCTAGCGCTGAGCCAGGCGCGGAGGGCGCGGGGGCGGAGGCCGGGGCAGGGACAGCTGCCGGCAGAAAGGGGCAGCGTGTTCAAAGGCTCCTTGTACAGGCCTTAGAGGGAGAGGCTCGAGGGGCCAAGGTAGCGCCTTTCCCACGATTAGTCTCGGCCGGGGAAGGGAATGCAACCTTGACCGCGGGGAGAGGCGAGACACGCTGAGCGCCTCTCTCCCCCGCCCGACGCAGCGGAGGAGCCCGGGAACCGCCTGGCCGGGCCAGGCCCCGCGGGAGCTGAGGGATGAAGTGGACAGCAGGCTCAGTCAGGAAGGTGGTCCCAAGGCTGAAAATCATGACTCCGCAGCTGCCGCAGCATACGGGGAAATTTGTCCCGCAACGAAATACCCTCTCCAATGCGACCCAAGGGGGGCGCCCTTGGCCCTAGGGCTGAGCTGGTGTCCCCACGTGACACTAGGGTGGCCCGGTGATAACAAGGCCTCCTGTAGGTATAGGGTGCTGCGCGCCAGACGGTCTGGGGGAATCGGGCAGACTGTCAAGCAGTCTTTGTCTTCCCTTCCCAAACCCTGCACTTAGTCTAGGGCTATCGAAGTCCTCGCCCTTCTTCTGCCCCGGCAAATACCCCACCCCTCACACAGACTACAGTGGGTTGGGTGCCCATCCAGCAGGGAAGAGAAAATCCATCTCAACAGCGGGGCCTAGATCCCTGGGAAAGGAGGTAGAAATAACCTAGAATGGTCTGGGTTTGAGTCCAAGTTCTGCCACAGAGAGATCTCCTGCACACATTATCTCTTAGAGCCTAGAGTTCCTCATCCAAAAATAAGGGGCTCCTCCAGTATCAGGCTGTGAGCTTCCTGCAAAGGCTGAGGCACTTTAATTGTCTTAACATTCAATCCCCAGTGCCTGGCACAGAGTAGGTGCTCAATAAATGTTTCCTGAATTGATATTTAGAAGCAAGATTAGAATACCAGCTATAATATTTAAGCAATTGGAAAAAAACGAGGTGTGATACCTTGGGGTGGGGGGAGGTTCAAGAGTGCCAGCAATTGTCCCCACCCCTGGGCCACTGCTAGGTTGCCCTGCCTGGGGACAGGGATCTCGAAGCTTGATTCCTCTCCGCCTCGGCCTGCTGATGGCCATTGCCACACTTTGGAAAAGGAATTGATGCCCTTGCTTTCCCCTGGTTAAGCCTCCTGCCAAGACTCTACATAGCTGGGAGAGCTGCAGGAAGCACAGAAATCGAGAGAATAAATCTGAAATCTCAGGGCCCCAGGGCCCACTCTGGTTGCCAATGCCAGGGTTGAGGCACAAGTGGCTTCTGACATCCAACCCCAGCTCCCAGCTGCTGACTGAGTCCCAAGGACTGGTCAAGTGTGATCCCTTTATGTTTTGATTACAAGAGAGAACCTAAGCCGGAAGAAGACAGGAACCCGCTTACAGGCTGTGGCCTGGATCTGGGGCCGCCTCTCTACTGGGCTATTTCCCAGGATGGGGAGGGGGGACTCCTTTACCTGCTAGTCGGTCTCCAGCTCCCAAGCCCCTTTTCTCTTTAACATCCTGGGCCTATCCTCTAGAAAAGAATTGGGATTTTTCCTTTAAGCATATTGCCCACTGGCTAGGATGCCCACAGTCTCACTCCTGAGGCTGAGTTGATGAAATTCTGGGCACCAGCACCCTGTAGAAGGATGGACCCAGAGATCCAATCAAAGCCACAGAGTCCAGGTTCCAAAACCCCCGACAGAACCTAGATGGTTTCAAATAAATGATAATGGTAGTATTTTGCACAGGGGGTACTTAGATCAAATAGCTTCTCAGGTGTCTTCAAATAGCAAGCATCCACACAGAGACTCACTCATGTCACACACCTGCCTGCCAGTCTTGCCGTTTCTGGTCCAACCAAGTTTACGTGGCTGCTGCCTTCTGTGTTTAGAACCCCTGCGGGGGGAGGGTCAGACTTCTGCTTCTGTGGCATAGAACTTCAAACCTGAGCCAAACACCAGGTTGCCCATGTTGGCTCTCCTCTTACAGATGGGGAAACTGAGACCTGGAGATTTGCCAGAGGTAACACCAGCCTGCTAATTAGAGGTGGTACGATCAGAGGAAAAGAATCTGTAATAGTCACTGAGTTGTTCCAATACTCCCTGAGTTCAAAACACTAATTTCCTTTAGGGAAGACCTAGAGTGGAGGGACCCCATGGATGGGCTTGAGGTTCTTCCACAGAACATGGATCCCAGGTTCCCCGAACGAAAAGAGGAGGGCGGTTTCGGTTTCGCCAGGGCTTCGGGTGGGCTAGGTGCTCAGAGCTGGGGTAAGATACGAACAGCCTAGAAATACGGTTTTAGAATGTGCGTGACAAGGCGGGAAGAACAGGGCCCTTCTTCTGAGCCTTGGGAGCCGCAGCACCTCCTGCAAACAGTACACACTCTGCTCCTCCTAGCCCACGCATTCTAGAAACATCCCAGTCCCTAGGCCCGAGGGAATTTTTGCTCTAGGAAAAGCATCCACGCCTTTTTTAAAGCATTTCCTAAAATATCAAATCAACCCGAATTGGTTTAGGTTCCCAACAGCGCACAAGTCTAATTAGAATAAACTTAGAAACGAAAATACAAAGGTTTGGCATGATTGGTTCCGTGCTGGTCCCTGAGAAAGAAAAGTGAGAGGGCGCCGGCGCGGGATGAGAAAACCACCGGCTGTGTCCCTCAATGTACAATGACTGAAAAGGGAAAATAAACCTGTCCTTGTTCTAACCTCCAAGTCTTGCAAAAATCTTTCTCCAGCTAAGTCCCGTGTTCAACGACGAGGAGGCGCCAGAGGCGGGCTGGAAGGAAGGCCGACGCTCGGGCCTCATTCCACCGCCTGTGGTAGGACCCGGTCCCGCAGAGATTGGAATCAGATAAACGGGGTTCTCTTCCAGCCCTGGAGCCCGCGTGGCCGCCACCTGAGCTGAAACCCAGGAGAGATCCACTTATACACTACCATGCGCTGGAGCCACAGGCGAACACGGACACGGGTCCAGGAAAGCCACTATTGTCTCTAGCTCATTCATTTACTCATTCTAGTGCTCCAAGGTGCTTACTGTGCCCCCCTTAGGTCTAGAGTGGCTCCTGGACATTTTGGCGTGGCAGAGGCAGCAAAGGCTGCTCACCCTGCGCTGGTCCCACTCTGAATCCAGGGTCTAAAAAGTCCAATGCCTGGCGACAGTTTGGTGGTGCCTTGAGCGACAAAACCTCTTCCCGAGGCAGAGCCAGGCATTGCACCGGTTCCCGCTTCCCACTCCCACGGGGAATAGTCCTAGAATCTCCCGAGGTCCGAGGGGCCCCAGATGACCTCCCGGCTCATGCGAAGAGTCCGGTTCCCCGCTCTGGAGGATGTCAGGGACCCATGCCCTGGACTCCCTCTCCTTGCCCTCCTCTCCCCCAGCTGCTGCTTCTTCTACCCTCACAGTCCTTGGGGAGGCAGCCGAGTAAGAGCTGTGGTCAGGTAAGGGGTAGGACAGGGGAGTGCCCGCGCGCAGCCACAGCCCCGTCGCCACCGCCCCGCATGTAGGGGGCGCTCCCCAGTCTGCTTACCCTGGTTGCGAATAGCGGGCTGGCTCTCGAGGCAGCTGGGCAGGTAGGGCGCGTTGGGGAACATCCTGGCCTGGCCGGACGACGCCTGGCTGGGCGGAGGAGGACCGAAGGGTCCGTAGCGACAGGCTCCAGCCGTGCCGGTGAACTGGCCCGAGAAGTGGACGGTGAAGGCGCTCAAGCACTGCTCCTCGTGCGGCTCCGCGCCACCCCAGCTCGGCTCCTGTTTGATGAACGAGTGAGGCGGCGGCGGCGGGGGTGGTGGCGGCGGAGCAGGCGGCGGCGCAGGACCGCCCAAGGAACCGTAAGCCGAGGCGCCCGGGGGCGCAAAGTCCAGCACCGGCGCCCACTGCGCCGCGCCGCTCACGGGCAGGGCGCAACCGCCGCCACCACCCAGCGAGGGTACCGCCGGCAGCAGCGCGTTCAGGTCCCGCACGTCGGAGCCCATTTGCTGTGGCTCAACCCCGGACGCTCCGCGGCCCCACCGGCTTTGCAGACGCTCGGCGCTCGATTCCGCCGCGCCTAACTTGGCCCAGATGCTTTCCGGGCCCTGGATCCCCGGCTGCTCGGTCTGCTGAAGGCACCCAGACCCGGAGCGGAGCGTGTGCTTAGACGCTGGCTCCGGGGCACACGTGGATGCCGGCTCTTGCGGCAGGGGGAAGTCCAGGATCGCGGCGAGGAGGCGGCGGGGCCCCGGCTCCTGGGCTGCAGTCCCGGCTATGGGTGGGTGGGTGAAGGGGGGGGGGGGGGGGGGGGAAGGGGGGAGCGGATAGGCGGTCGAGTCGCGAGAGCCCCCGGGTGTGGGCGCTGCCTTGAACTCCTTACCCCAGCTGCCTGGCTACCCCCAGCTTCCCAAAGCTCAAATAAGAGGGGCCGGCGGCGGGGGAGGAGGAGGAGTCAGGAGTCTCGGCGGCTCCATTCACACCGCAGCCCTAGCAGATTAGGCAGGGCGCGCGACTCCTTGGGGGCGTCCTCGCAGTGGGGGTGGGGGGCGGGCCCGAGGGAGCGTCCCTCTCGGAGACACCCTCCTCTCCTACCCACCACGCGCTCTCCGCAGGCCTGTAGGACACAATCCTCCCCCCACCTCCCCTTCTCGGCCTTCGCGAGTGTGGGCGCCTTGGGGCACTGGCGAGCCTCTCCAGGTGAGCACTGAATGTCCCCTCTGCATCCCTGTGTGATGGGGGTAGGGAAGAGGTTGTTAATCAGGGAGGGCGGGTTGGAGGGAGGGGCAGGGGGCTCCACGAGGGCGGGAACTTCAGGATAACGCAGAGAACTTTACCGGACTTCAAAGAGGCGGCGGCTCTTGCTTCTAGAGCCGTCAGACTGGACTGGTGGTCATAATCTTGAGGTCACTGGGGAGCGGGGTGGCTTTTTGTGGATTTCAGAGGCCAGACTCAGGCGAACGTGGGTCATCTGGAGGTTGCATCATTTGTGATAAACGGGGCGTATATCCACCGTCTGGTAGTTGGCGACACGGTGAGGTTTGCGCCCAGAGAAGGGCGGTTGCCGCCTACCTAAAATCGGTGTCAGCGGCACTTAATCTCCCTTTCTCGTGAGGAGTACCTAACTCTTCTACGGGGAAACCGGGAAAACAAAACGGCGGCTAGTTTGGGAGGGAAGAAAACCCTTAGGGAAATGCCCAGATTCCGGTCGGAGAATCCAGGCGCCGAGTTTGGAGGTTAGCGGGTGGGGAAGGTTTAAGATACGAAGTCCTTGGGGCGAGGTTGGCTCTTGGAGCCGCTCCTGCTGAGCTCTGCCTCCACTCACTCCAGTCGGGAGTACCATTCTGCATGCGTAGTGACAGATCAGGAGGGGCAAGCCAGGGTACGCGGACGGAAGAGAGCCTCCAGCGGCCCAAGGTCCAAGGCAGGGTTCTTACTGTTCAGAGCTCCCAGCGCCTGGCATCGCCAAATCAGATTCCTCCCTCCACCCATTCATTCTTTGGGAGCCCCGCGCCCCAGAGCAGGTGCTTGAGGTTTTGTTTTGTTTCTTTTGGTTCTTACAAAAGAGTCGGCTTCTATCGGGAAGCAGACCCTAGGCTAGAAGAGCCGTGAACCTGAATGGGAGTGCGCTTCAGGGGCGCGTGGAAACGCCCAGGAGGCAGCGGCGACGGCGCAGCCTGGGACTGCCAGGAGCGCCGGGCGGGAAGCGGCCTGTTGCCGCCTGGCCTCTGACACGAGGCTGGCCGGGGATGGGGCCCGAAGCTTTTCAGCCAAGCCCATGTGAAGCAACAATCAAAGTAGTTGCAGTTTTATAAAGAAGCCGGAAGTTTTAAAGCCTTGATTTACTCACAATTTCTTACGCGTTGGTTTTAGTTAATTTCCACGAAGTAAACGGTAGCCAGGCGTTCTCGCTGCGGACCAGAAGCGTGTGCCAGCTCAAAACCTACACGCTAAGTGCATTTCCCTCCTCTTGGGGTCGCTTGTCTTGGAGGCGCAGGAAACCGTGAGGGCAAAGGCCAGGAACAGGCAGGCTCTACCCGTTTGATCGCCGGACCGCTTTCACGGTGGTGGACACTTCCCTGCGCTACTTTGGTGCCTGACTTTGCGAAGTCTTCACTCAGAAACTTTTTCTTTCTTTTTCTTTTTAAAAAAAGAAGTGAAAAGGCACTCGAGGCCAGCTGCTTCTCCCCTACACTCCCTGTGGGCCGCCCACTCCTCGCCCGCATGTCCCATCTCTAAACCTGCGCGGGGCTCCAGGGCTGGGCAGAGGACAGGCGCTTTTCGTATTTTGGGTGGAGAAAAGCCCAGCGAGATAAAACTTCTCAGGCCAAGTTGTCCCTAGGACGCCCCAGACCACTGTCTCACACCCTTCACTTTTATTTCTACTTCGAAGTCGTTTTTCTTAACTAGGACTCACTCAAGCGCTACGAGGAAAGGGGAGCCCTTTAGGAAAGCCCGGGATTTCCACTTCTAAGTGAAAAAGGTCGAGATTGTTTCTTTTTTAATCCTTCTTTGCAATTTTGGGGGGGAGGGTATTTGGAGGAAGGTGGCTTGATTGTGAGCTTTTGCGGTTTTGAATCCCAGATAGGGCAAGGGCTCTTAACTCTCTGAGTTAAAAAAAAAAAAATTTGTTTTTTTTTTTTGCCTGGGGGTGGGGTGAGAGGAAAGGAGGGGGCTAGCAAATTTAGCACTCCTCTCTCACCCGCCATTTGTTGCCTGAGAACTCTTTTTTTTTTTTTTTTTAGATGTTGGGGGTAGGAGTTTATTAATTTATTTATTTATTTTTGCTGTGTTGGGTCTGAGTTTCTGTGCGAGGGCTTTCTCTAGTTGTGGCAAGCAGGGGGCCACTCTTCATCGCGGTGCGCGGGCCTCTCACTATCGCGGCCTCTCTTTTTGCGGAGCACAGGCTCCAGATGCGCAGGCTCGGTAGTTGTAGCTCACGGGCCTAGTTGCTCCGCGGCATGTGGGATCCTCCCAGACCAGGGCTCGAACCCGTGTCCCCTGCATTAGCAGGCAGATCCTCAACCACTGCGCCACCAGGGAACCCCCCGCCTGAGAATTCTTGAGGGAGGGAAGAGCAGTGGTGCGATCCCCATTTCAACCCTGGGGTACCCCCTCTCCCAGACCTTGTAGTCCGAAGCAGTGGGAGGAGTTCTCTGCAACCCTCAGGGCAGAGAAGTAAGTGCTGCGCGTCCGAAGCCGAAGCCAGAGGGCCTCACCCGAGACGAGGTCTTTGAACGCCCCTAGCCCGTGCCTATGCCCGGGAGCCCAGGTGCCCCGGGGCCAACCCTGGGGAACCCGCACACTACTGCGCTCACGGGGTGCCCTACGCTCCCCACTTGTCCCTCCGCTAGGTGACGTTCTCTGCGGGAGCTCTGCAGTTACCCAGGCGGACGCGCCCGCTCTGCTGGCCTCGGTGCCCTGAGCTGGGCAGAGGGGGAGACAGTCTGGCCGGGAAGAAGGTCCAACCTCCGCCCGCCCCAGCAGGTAGAGCGCGCTCTGCTGTACCTCCTGTGGCTCGAGACCGGCCCAAGGTCCCAGGGATCTGAGGGCTGCGGAGAACTGGCCGCTCCTTTCTCTCAATCACCTTCCCAACCCCGATAGCACTGAGACCTGTGGCAGAGGATGTGGTCTGAATCACCGATTGGCAGAGCTGGAAATTAAACTCCTTGTTCTACAGAAAAGGAAACTGAGGCCCAGGCAGAGGGAGGAAAGGCAGCTGTGGAGTGCACTGTTTAAGAGCAAGAGATTGGTGGCCAGAGAAAGGAATCTCAGCTCCACTAGGTAACCAGCAGCTGTGCAACCATGGACGAGCTCCGCAGCCGCTGCGAGCCTCAGTTTCCTTATTGGTCACATGGAATAATGGGATATTAGTACCCACCTCAAGGGGTCCTGAGGATTAGACGGAAGAGAGTGTTGGCCTATGCCCTCAATGTACGTTACAATTTTTGTTACTATTGTTCAAGGACACGTAACTAATTAGTAGCAAAACCGAGCTGAACCCTGGTCTCTCTGGGCTTAACCCACCACACCTCTGCTTCTTTAGAGCTAATGGAATGGAGAGTAAAGGAAAGGAGGAGGAGAGACGCTGGAAACCCATGTAGCTTTGTATCACTGGTAAAGTTCATCCTGGCCTGGAAGGGGCTTAATTATTGCAAGCTTTAAAAATGGATGCTGAGTGGGAGGGGGCAGTGAGGTCCTCTATCCCCCGCCCCCCACTTTGACCCCGGCGCCGTCAACTGCATCTGACCGAGAGCCCAGCCCGGCCCTGCAGCCGCGGCCCCAGGGACCAGCGCGTACTCCCGAGCCGCGCTCCGGGCGTCACCCCGCGGGCGCCGACAACTGAATAAACACACCGTAGCGCTGCGATCTGTCAAGGGCTGGGGCCGCCTGCCCGCGCCCGGGGCCGTAGACAGCAAAAAGGAGTGCTGGGCCGCCCGGGAGAAACCTGCGCTCGATTAGCGCCTCGCGCAGAGGCCAGTGTCCGAGCTCCACGCTCCCGACCACTGCTCCTCTCCTCCCCGCCGCCTCCAGCTCTTAGCATTCTGCCTACCTCGGGCCGCTGGGCAGCCGCTTAGGCTGGTTTCCATCCCCGTGCAGGTGGTAGAAATCCCAGTTTCATTTATCTAAATTTAAAAAAAAAAAAAAGTAAGAGAAGGGCTTTTGGTATAGTCTACCCCCGGCTTCCTCTGTTCGTTTGAAAATTAACTCTACTTTTTGGCCAATCCCCCATCTACGGTTCAAACTCAGTTGGTTTGGGGGCCAGGACCGGTGCGCACTAGCAGGTGCGCAGAGCAAAACTCCCCCTTTCCCCCAGCTCGCAGTGCCTAGAGCGGTCAGGGTTACCCGCCTGTTCTGATGCCACCGCGAGATGGTCCCCGAGCTCCGAGAGAGTCCCCAAAGAAAGGATTGCGCAGCGCTGCCTCTATTATTATACCGTAAATCTTTTTAAATTCTGGAACTAATTATATAGAGGATATGTCTCAATTTGTTCTGCATTAATGCCACAGTGGGGATGGAGGCCGGGCTGTGGCCAGAGCAGATACGCAGGCCCATGAAATTGATGAGCTGAGAGTTGCTTCCAGTCCTGAGCGCACCATCTGGAATTCCAGTCTGAGGTTACAATTAGAACTACTGACCCCAGATTCAACTTTGCAAACAACAGGAGAAAAAAATGGGGAAAAGAAAGAACCAAGAGGAAAAAAAAAAAACAAAAAAAACCCACCACGAACTTATTCTGCACCTGTTAAAAAAAAAAATCTTCGCACAACCTTAAAATCTTCCCATCTTAGAAGATTCTTTCCAAGTATTTCTTTTGTGTTTTTTAAACCTATAAAAGATAATGGAATATATTTTATAGATTGGATTTTATCTTATCCCCTTTCCCT